TTGCTCTAGAATCTTCCTAGATATCGGACCAGCCAATCTGTAATTTGCTGGATCTTCTTTTTTCCCTCTTTTTGAAGACAGGGACAACATTTGCTTCCTTCCAGTCATCTGACACTTCACCAGACCAGAGCTCAAACACAACCGAGTACTGCTACAAGTCCTTCCTGTTGGCTGATACTTCTTGTATCTTACCTCCACAATGACTTCAGAGAGTCCTGGGTTACACAGTAGAAGCCATCGCCTGGGAGTGATGCCATTGGTCTTGTTTTGAAACTTCTCTGGCTCTATCTCATAGAAATCTTTGAATCTACGATGTATATGGGTGAGACAGTTCAAAAAGGAACAGAATGTAATATATATTATCTGGTGCCAGCAGATACTAAGAACCTTTTAGCAGCTCAGTGCAGCTGTTAAAAAAGAGAATGCAATCCTAGGATACATTAATTAAAAGCAAAGTATAATCCAGAGCTGGAACAGTACTAGTTCGGCTCTGTTCTACCTAACCAAAGCACTTCCGTTCTGGGTGACATGTTTTAAGAACACTGACAAAGTGGAAACAATTTAGTACCTCCAGATATTTGGGACTACAATTCCAATAATACTTTGCGACAGAGCATTGATCGATGGAAATTTAAATGCAAACCATCTGGAAGTTACTAGATTATATGCCCCTGAAATGGGAGTATATCTAGGAAATGTATCAAGGTGAAGAAATATCTGGGAAATAGGTTATACGAGGAACGCTTGCAAGTGCTGGAGAAGATTAAGGTGAGACATGACCACCATTGTAAATATTTTAAAAGCTGCAGAGCACGGAGCAGACAGGTTCTATGTTGCTTCACAGGGAGGGGCTAGACCCTGGGCAGAAACTGCACGGCAGCTGCTCTTGGCTAAACTGTAGAAGAAACTGTAAGTGGTATTTGGCAGTGGAACAGACTGCTTCAGGACATGAGGGGCTCCCCTTTGCAGATGGTACTTAAACAGAAATAAAGTGGCAATATATCAGGGATGTTGGATCCTGTACCTAGCAGGATGGATGAGATGAACCTCAAGATCCTTTTAAAATCCTATGTCTTTAAAAACGGGGAAGCCTTTTCTGGACTAAAGTAAGCTGCAAATACCTAAGAATATCAGAGAAAGGACTATATTAAATCCCTTTTCCCGACATGCTACTTTTCTATGTGTGGGGAGTCTTCCATTATATAAATTTCTACCTAAAATGCAATAATTCAGGAAACCAATTTGTGTTGACTGTACAAACTAGCACTTAAATTACTTGCTTACTACAGGGTACCAGTATTATCGCTCTCTCTTTCTCTCTCATTCATTCATATAGTCATAATTTGTTAAATCACAACATCTATAGTTTGTCCTCTCACTTCTAAGCCAATTCTGTTTTCTAGGCTAAATGCAAAAAAATTCAAATACTTCATTTTAATAAAAATAAATCAGGTTTGCAAGACAGCAGATATGTATGAGAAGAAAAGACAAAGACTACTTCTTAGATCAGTGGCATGTCTTCACAGTCTTGGCTTATGTGAAGAACACCAGGATAGATAGCTTACTTTCAACTAAATAAAAGAGAAACAAGCAGGACTCACACAGAATTCTTCACAATCTCCGAATGAATCTGAGCCACTCCGTTGACTGCATGAGAACCAATGACACACAGGTGGGCCATATTGATCCTCTTGCAGTCTCCTTCCTCAATCACAGACATCCTTCGGAGGCGGTCAACATCTCCAGGAAAGAGAGTAGCCACATACTGGCAGAACATAAAAAATGATGAGGAATGTTAGGAAGACAAGCTAAATCACATCTCACAATGAATCTTTTTAAACTGAAAAAATGTGAACAAATCCTCCAAAGTCCAGAAGAGATGAACCTACAGTGGTACCTCAGGTTACAAACGCCTCTGCTTACGAACTTTTCGGTTTGCGACCAGCTCCGGCCGCAAAAATTTACCTCGGTTTGCAAACTCCGCCCCGGGGTACGAACCGGATCCGCGGCCATTTTCCGCCGTGCCACATGGTCCACGGCCATTTTCTGCCCGTGCCACGTGGTCCGCGGCCATTTTCCCGCCCGTGCCACGCGGTCCGCGGCCGTTTTTCTGCCCTGCCGCGTGGTCTGCGGCCGTTTTCCTGCCCTGCCGCGCGGTCCACAGCCGTTTTTCCGCCCTTGACGCGTGGTCCGTGGATGCCGGAATGGATTAACGGTAATTACATTGAACCTTATGGGGAAATTTGCTTCGGGTTGCGAACAAATCGGGTTGCAACCAGAGTCACGGAACGGATTAAATTCGTAACCTGAGGTACCACTGTATTTTACTACTCTTCCCCAAATGCCCTCCTCCCTTTTTTAAAGAACATCACCATCCCCCTGAGAAGCCAGCTCCATCAGGGTTTGACACCCATCATTTAGCACTCTTGAACTGTTGCAAATGGAGAGGCTAAATACCTTCTAACAAGATATCAAGATCTATCTAAACAAGGATGGTACCAAATGACATCCAAGAACATATGCTAGGCCATTGCTAACAAAGATATCCTTAAACATATTTATGTGGTCAAAACTACTGCCTTCCAGAAGTTTGGTACTGCCAGCAGCAGTGAATTGTGGGTATTGCAGTACAAGAGATATGAAGGGTACCAGGTGGATGATTCCTTGTTTTATTGATTGTTGCAAGACCACGAGGATTTGAACCCCAAACATGATTGATTCTACCCAGGCTCTGGCATAGCAGCTTGCTGGAGCTGAGAACTGGCCCTTTTCTATGCAGTAAGATGGCCAGATCATATTCAACATGGTATACAAAAGGATAGCTAAACAAATTCAATAAAACTGCTAACTTTGATGCTGAGCACCTTATCATTCAACTACAAATTGCACATTAAATCTCTTCTGGCTTGCCACTAGGTATCTCAGTAATGCTCCTCTGATGCTAGCAATGCAGGGCCCCATAGCATTGGGCATCTATCACCTGCCAAAATGATATTCAAAGCCACACAAAATGAAAAATAAATACATTTAGAATTGCCAAATTTTCACAAGATCATCAAAGCTCAGAGGATTTTCATGGCTTCACATGAGATTAGTGACATCTTATGAGAGCACTAATATCTTGCAAGATTTTGAGCCTTCTCTTCATTCCCCTGGGCCACTGTGAGAGATCATGTGTAAGTGCCAACCTCTGGTATCCTCTCTCTGCCTCTCCCAACTCCCTATTTTCTCTTTAAGATGTCTTACATCCAGATGCTTTTGGTTGATAGCATAAATGATCTCCAGGTGCCTTGGCAGGAGCTTCTCAAACATAGACACCGGCCAGCGCTCCAGGGCTTCGGGCAGCACTGTATGGTTGGTGTATGCACATGTTCGCTTTGTGATTTCCCAGGCCTAGAGCAAAGGAAACAAATGAACTGATGTGAGTAGAAGCATCTCTAAAGCCTGAAAATAAACGCTGGTAACATCAAATGGTGTCAATTTCTGATACTTGCCACAGAGATTACACTGAAACTGGGCTGTTATTTATCAATTGCAGCCTCATTATTAATGGAAAAAAGCACAGATTAATGCAGCTGAAATTCAACTGGCTGATGGTATTAGAGCTAAGCAGAGAGCTTCAAATATTGTAGGGTCACAGCAGTCACTGCATACAGGATCAAAAATGTCTTATGGCCTTGAATGCCATGCTGGGGAAGCCCCCTTCCAATTCTATGCTTCCAGGCTTTACACAAAATTAACATTGATTTTCAGAGACAATTTTTTCAAATACTAAAGTAAATGTTCAAATACAGATACTACAAGCTTGTGCAGTGTAGTGGTTAAGTATTGGGCTAGGAGGGAGGAGATCCAGGTTCCCGTCCACCCTCAGACAAGGAAGCTCCTTTAGTGACTTTAGTCAGTGACTCAGCTCAGTTTATGACCAGGGCTGATGGTGAGATAAAATGAACGATAACCTTCATGTAAGCTACCTTGAGGAAAGATGATATATAAATCTAGCAAACTAATAAAATGAATAAATAGGAAGGCACAGAATAATAAGGAATCTAAATACAGGAAGTCCTCATTTAGCGACCACAACTGGGACCAGCAACTGGGTCATTAAGTGAAGCAGTCACTAAGTGAAACCGCAACTGTGCTTACAATACTAATTCAGCTTTCCTTTGCTTTACCAACCTGTGAAGGTCGTAAATGCAAGGATTGGTTGTAAAGTTACTTTTTCATCACCGTCATAACTGCTAACAGTTGCTAAACGAGGACTACCTGCATCTGAAATGTGTCTGTCAATGAAAAGTCATTTTGGTGTCTGTATGTCATATTTCTATAGGTTTAAAATGAAGACTAATTCACAAAACATTGTTTTATATGTATTGGGGCATTCATGAAATTGTTGGATAGGCTGAAAATTCAAAATCAGCTCATATGATGTAGTCATATAGTGGCTCCTTGTTGACATACATAATTTCACATATTAATTTGTTCTGGGAGATTCATTGGTTTTTGTGGAAGATTATATTCCTTTCAACTACAGGCCAGTAAGTTGGAAATCAACAGGAAGACTATGGAAATGGTCATAGGGGACCATGCTTTTAGAATTGCTAAATGACCGACTTCAAAAGGTTAAAAGGATGAAGAACGTGTCTCTCTCTCTATTTTAACAATCACCAGGGGGTGGTTCATTCAAGAATACTCTTCAGGAATTTGGACCATATATGGTTAATTTCTCATTTTTTCTGATTGTTAAATATTATTAACTGAAAAAAGAGGTATGCTTTTGTGGACTGTTTGCTCTTTCTCCTCCTCTTCTTGTTTTTTCCTCAATCAATCAATCAATCAATCAGGTTATAAAGAATAACTGAAGTATATTCTATTCCTGTATGAGCCAGCCTGCTTGTAAAGATCACTATGCTTCCACTGCCAACTGAAGTGAAGTGGGTGATGACCAGAAACTTGGCATTTTCAGGTACAGCAAGTCTGCCTAGCATCAACTTTATTCTCCTTAAGTGAGGGCTGAAACTATGTTTAGTGGCCCAAGTCATTTTATGTTGCTAGGCAAATGAAGTTTTATCAGATTTTTTTTTAAATCTTGTAAGCAGCTTTAGCAGCTATGGCTAAGAAGACTACAGTTTGAGCTACTATGAAAGGGAGAAGTGGCAGATGGAGGAAGGGTTCAGTTCTTTTTTCCTACTCTCCACTTGAAATCACCACACTCTGATGCTGCAGAGCTGTGATATTACAGAGGTAGATCTTAATTAAACACTGAGTTTGCATGAGTGAGTCATCTTGGGCAGCCTTTCCTAACCTGATACCTTTCAGCTGTGTTGGGCTGTAACTCTCAGAATCTAGCTTCTCACCATCCTGGCTAGGAATTCTGGAAAATGTAATCCCAAGATATCTGGGGGAGCATCAAGCTGGAGAAGGCAGATCTCTTGGCAGTTTCTGAAAGAACCTGTTGGTGATTAAAGACTGTGTCTTTCTTGCCTCCCATTCCATTCTCACCTTATCCCAATCCATATGTTCAACATCAACAAAGATCCTCATGAGCTCAGGAATGGAGAGGGCTGGGTGAGTGTCATTGAGCTGAATGGCAACCTGTAAAATGGACAACATAAATCTTAATATGAAATTCTCCATTGCTTCCATTCAAAAAAAACCCAGTGAGTCCATGGGGCACAATGGAAAGTCTGATTTCAGTTTATGCTGATAGCCATTTGGTGACCACAGGCTAGCTACTAATTTTCTATAAGCTACTACTAAATTTCAATTCCTAGATGCAAACAAGAAAGAAAAAAAAGATTATCATTAGGGGCTTCAGAGGAACTACAGGATTTTAGCCGTAAGTAATCTGGTCAACTGGAAGGTCCACTGGCTTGTGGAGAATCTTGCACTTGATATTTTCAAGTTTAAAAAAATAAACTTTTAATCCTTATTAAAAGTAAAGAAACAGAAAATATGCTAAAGAAGTATTTAGGGCTGCTGCTCAGGAACTTTTTTTTTCAATTGTTCATTCATTCTAGGAACATAATCTGCCAGACTCCCAGTCTATCCTTATTTTCCTACTCTTATGAAACTATATCAGTTCACTTTTCCAAAGGTCTTAACTAATCTTTCCAAGTTGCCACAGTAGGAGAAAATAATAACATAATAAAAATGGCACACACAATTTTCTTTTGAAAAGAAAAAAGAAATCCTCATCCAATTATGCAAATTGGAGGAAGTTGAAAATTAAAATATGTTACCTAATTTTCGTTACTGGTGCTAATTACTGAATTTGTGTTTCGTGAACACTGAATTTGATACTGTATTGCAGACAATTTCACAAAACCCTTCATATTCATGACATCCAACTTATAGGATCAACAATGAAGATGACTGGTAAAATCTATAAAATCTGATTAAATCTATAAAAAATTCTGGAAGCTGAAGGAGCTAGGTAAATGACTGACTAAACTATACATTTGCTAACAGGGATTATTAATAATCTGTTGTCACTAAACAATCCAAATATCATGGTATTAAAAGACAACAACAAAAATAAAAATAATGGCATAATTCTATGCACACCAGTAATATTACTGTAAAGATCACAGGACTTTAGGACTGATGGGAGAGATTTCTAGTATTAAACAACATTCTGGTTTTGCCTTTCTTAACATCAAAAGACTACCAAACATTATCAGAGAAAGCGAAAGGTATTCTTTAAAATTAAAAAAAAAAATCATGAGTTGCACTAGCCCTCATGTGAAATGTTCACCTTGTCAGGGAAGGTTTCGAAGCAGGTCCTCACTGGATCGCGACATCCAAATTTGGAAGACTTGAATCGTCGTATGATGTCCTGGAGAGTGGCAGCGACCACGAAGTACTCCTGTTTCAGACGCAATTCCTTTCCTTCAAAAAACTTAGGGACGCAGCGGGGAAAAGGGGTTATATTAGTCTGTGCCAGAAGCAACACAATGAAGGTACCAATAATAAAGCACACTAATAATGGCGATGATTTGAGGGATCATAAAAATCAAGCTCATTGGAAGGACTGATAATGAAGCTCAAGCCCAGATACTTTGGTCACCTAATGCGAAG